AGCCAGGGGGCCCTTTTGAAAGAGCCATCCCTCAAAGAGGTAAGAGGGATGGCTTGTAGACAAAGGGCCTTCTCGGCAGCTGCCCCCAGACTATGGAACGCCCTCCCGACTGAGATTCGTTTGGCGCCAATGTTGATGACATTTCGGCGCCAGGTCAAAACCTTCCTGTTCCAGAAGGCTTTTAATTGAAATAACAACTGTGGGTGCTGATGATGGCAATTTTAATTGTATTTTAATTGTATTTTAATTGTATTTTAATCATTTTATTGTATTGAATTTTAATTATTGTAAGCCGCCCAGAGACCTCTGGGTAGAGTGGGCGGCATATAAATTAAATAAATAAATAAATAAATGTGATGAAAGTACTGTGGGCAGTGTTAATGGTAGTGTTGGAAGGGGTGGACAACCTTGGGTCCCAGGCTGGGTCCATCCCTCCCCTTCAGCCCTTGGAGATTCCCAAAAGGGCCACCCCTCTCCCCCTTGACAATATAATTAGCTGTTTTCCAGGATACCCACCCAAAAGGGCCACCCCTCTCCCCCTTGACGATATAATTAGCTGTTTTCCAGGATGCCTGGAAAGAGAGAACAAGAAAACAGGCCTTCTTTGCAGTCCTCCCCTGCCTTAAGAACAATTTTCCTCCCTGATGTCTTTTTAAAAGCTCTTGAAAACATTCTTGTTTCATCAAGCCTTTCAAAACCGGCCAAATAGTGCACCAGCTTTTTATTTAATTCCTGCCTTCTTTAATCTTTTAATAACAATCTGCATATTTTAAATGTCTCAATTGTTTTATTATTTAATTTAATTGGCTCTTCGCTTTATGTTGGCACAGGCTAGGTTAGGTTTTTGTTATTTCCGTTATTGTTCATTTAATAAAATAAAATAAACAAAATTTCCCAGCTTTTGCCTCCCAGGGTTTTTATTTAGCACCATGCTAACAACTTAAATGCCTTTCTTAAAGCTTAGTTACTGGGAAGAAAAACTTAATAAAATAGGCATTCAGTTGTGGTTTTTTCAGGCTCTTTGGCCGTGTTCTGAAGGTTGTTCTTCCTGATATTTTGCCAGTCTCTGTGGCTGTCATCTTCAGAGGTCCTCTGAAGATGCCGGCCACAGAGATTGGCGAAACGTCAGGAAGAACAACCTACAGAACACGGCCAAAGAGTCTGAAAAAACCACAACAACCATCAGATCCCGGCTGTGAAAGCCTTCGAAAATATGTTGGTATTTTGGATTCCGCTCTTTTGCTCCCCATCGCAACCGGAATGTGGCCATTGAGAACTTGTTTGATATTGAATTCAGCCTTTGGGCTGCAAGATGTTGTACAGTCCTAGGATATACTTTTGTGGAGGGAGATTCCCTTAAAAAATTGAACAGGTGGTTGTTAGATGACTTGTCCCAGGAAACCTGGTCAGTGGTTATGGAGGATGGGAGTTGTAGGTCAACAATGTTAGGTTCCCTAAGTCTTGCTTTACATGGTTCAAGAGGGAAGTTGCTGACCTTCTGTTAGCTTACAATCAGAAATTTGCACCGAGGAGGGGAAGGAGAGTAAGGAATTTTAAAAGGGAATGAATATGTGATTGTTTCTGTACTCAGGTGCGAGGCATTCAGCTCCTTCAGACATCCAGAGAGTAAACACTTGTATAATAAATGCTAAAAAATATTTTTGTTTGTTAGCTCTCTTATTTTGGAAGGCAGTGCTTAACATATACTTGGATTTTCAACCTGAGTGGCATTTGTTTTTGTTGTTGTTGTTGTTGTTTGTTTTTGTTTTTTTGTCTACTTGCAGAGCTATTTTCCAGAAAACCAGAACCACCTGCTGCTGGCCAAAATCCAGGAAGTGAATTTGTGCTTGAAAAACTTACTCACCTCTCCAGGAAAGGTCAGGAGGATTGAGGGCGGGAATGGACCCCATGGCAGAATTTTTTTGGTTAAATTCCTCGAGCAGCACAGCAAGGATTCACAGAGCAGAATAGCTTCAAGTACCTCAGATTGGGCCACTCCTTTTCTAATTAACTGCCACCTGCAGTCTTGATCATTCACTCTGAGACATTTGTAAGGAGAAAGAATAAAAGCATTTAATGTACTTATGGTGAACAGATAACAGCAAACTGGCAAACATGACCGCCTTCAAGTAACAGATTTCAACAGACTCTAGAAAAGGAAAAAGCTCTGAGCAGAGAGGCAGAATTTGAATTCAGGGACAGGAGGTAACAATTAGTTAATGCTGGATAGATTGACAGTCACCCTTCTCCCAAATAGCCCCTCCCTGCCACATTGTAAAAACTGCAACAGATTTCATATGCCCCTAGCCTGAGACAAGCTGAAGCAAACTGCCTCAGGGGGGAGATTGAAAAGGGAAAAGGAAAAGAAAAGTCCCAAATCCAGTAATAGGTGAAAGAACCGCAGAGAGCAAAAGCAAAGCAAAGTGTGCTGCTTATATACCACCCCACAGCGCTTCAAGCACTCTCTGGGCGGTTTACAAGTTAATTATGCAGCCTCCATAGTGCCCCCCCCCCAGCAAGCTGGGGAGTCATTTTACTGACCGTGGAAGGACAGAAGGCTGAGTGAACCTTGAGCCGGCTACCTGGGATTGAACCCTGGGTCGTGAGCACAGTTTTAGCTGTAGTACAGCGGTTTAACCACTGCGCCATGAGAAATCTGGAATGACTTCAGACTGTTGTTGCTTTCGAATTCAGCACAGGTTTTAGTGTGTCTTGCACATATAACACTTTTAGGTTCTATGGGACTATTTACTTCCTATTGATGAATCTTGCAAACACAATTTCACAAAACGAATCTTTTCTTATTTGCATTTCTACAACAGACGGCATGAATAATTATAACTACAACATGCTACAATTTGTGCACTGGGTTGCTTGTAGAATTTGCAAAGCTTAAATGTCCCTTTTTAGATTCCAAGTCAGACAAAAATCCAATTCAACTTACTCAATTGGGTTGGGTCTCCATAACATGGGAGAATCTTCAAAACTCTAAAAAAAAATGTGAACAAAATAAATTGTATGCAATTCATGATTTCACTATGTAGATTCACTGCTCCAACATAAGCATATAGGAATTAAATCCTAAACCAAGTTGGCAAGGGCTTCACCAGTCAAAGAGGCATCAGCAGCTCTGGCTTCTGCAGTTCTCCTGCCCTTTCTGAGATTCAAACCTCTTACTCATAGTCCTTCTCTTTCTTAGTGCAAACACTTTGGGTTGGACCAGTAAGTGTTACACAAAGGTTCATTTTCCATTTACGTGTGGTGGTGGTTCAGGGTGCTAATGGTTATAAGGAGCTCAGCCTTTCCCCTGTGCCATAGTCCTGATGAAAATTATTCCCCACTCTTGCTCTGAAGATGGTGATGCCGCTGGAGGCTTTTTGCCCAATGCAAATCGCAGCTTGATAATTTGGTGAACTTTGTGGGGACTGCTGGCCCTCCTTCAAGTCTAGCATTGTCCCCTGACAACACAGCTGCTGTTTACATTACAAAAAAAAATACTGTGCATGTTAAATACATTCACCCAGGTAGTTTGCCTGCCACAATAGGCACCGAATGCTCTGTATCAGGGGCCAGTCTTGGCCTGAACCTAATTTTGAGAAATAAGATTTGCACATTATCAAGCCTATGCATACAGAAGCTTTGCATATCGTCCATCCAAATGCATGGAAGAAGTGGGCATGGAGGGGGAAGAATGATGCTCGTGAACTTATTTCGTTGTCCTCTTCTCCAGTCTGAAGTTCCACCTGGTGCTTTTGGAGCTCCTCTCTATTCACTGGGCAAGAAAGAATTTCATCACCAAGCAGTCACTGTCCTTAAGGAACAAAACCACTTGCTGATCAAGGTAACGAAAGTCAAATGCTGGTGGCACATGCATACGCAACAGTACACCTGCATTTAGAGATGGGCCCGAATCGCCGGTTCAGGGGTTCATGCCAGTTTGTCCTTTGGATGAACAGGTGTTTGGTGCTTCCCAGAGGCAGGACAGTGCTGCCTCTGAGGGAGGCGGGGCTGGGAAGCACTGAACGCCTGTCCATCCAAAAGATGAATTGGCGCAAACCACCAAACTGGCTATTTGTGCCCATCTGTACATGCATTTATATGGGGGGGGGAGGCAACCTCTGGAGATCTGTAGGCTGCTTGCATCTGGACCTTGTACCCTCTCATTCATGGCTATTAAAAATAAAAGTGGGAGGGGTCCTGGAGGTGGCGGGGACCCTCAGCACAGGCCAGTATTGCCCCGGGCGGGCAGGGACACACTCTCTCTCTCTTTTCTTTCTGGAGCTGTGAAAGGCCTGCATTCATGCAGGTCATATTGCAATTTTTTGCATGTCCAAATTCCCACTTTCTCATTTAGCACTGTTTTTCCCCACACACAACTGTTTGTCCCCCTATGCAACTTCCCAGATTTTTTTTTTGTGCCAAACCCCTTGGTTTATTTTTTGTTGTGCTTTGTACCCGGTAAAGCCTATGGACTTCTACCAGCAAGTGATTGAAAATAGAGGTGTCCCATCTGGAACAGCCCTCGGGCTGCATGCTCATAGCTTGTAAAATGGAAATGCTAGACGATTTCTTGGGTGGCAGTTCATTCCAAAGCGATGGAGCTACCACCAAGAAGGCTCAGTTCCTTGTTTTCTCCTTCCACGCCTCCCTTCCTTTATCACATATCTACTTAATTTCTTAACCACCCCCGCACACATTCTGTGCAAATAATATCAGGTGGGGCTTACTATAGGAATTTCTGAGAGCCTCCATCAGACATCCTCTATAGGTTTAACTGGTGAGAGTAACGTAACAGATAAATTTGTGTTTGGTGCTCATACACACACATATGCGCACACATCAAATGAGAGATGTTGGGTTAATCTCTTGCTTTCCACAAGTATGAAAGAACCAGCACAAATGAAAAGTTCTCACTGGGGAGAATAGTGATCCTGTTATCCTAATGTTTGATGTCTGCCTGCTAACAGGAAGTGTCTGAAAAGAGTGACCGCATTGCTCAGCTGGAGCAGGAAAAAGCCGCTCTTTGCCAGCAACTGAAAGAGAGAAGGGGCTACCGACTACCCAGCCATAAGGAGTCCACCTTCATTTGACGCACAAGGTCACTTCGGAGGGAGGGTGAACGCCGTCGTGACTCCGCTGTCTGCTCTCTGTGCAACGCCAGGGACAACGCTCCTTTCTCTGATTCCAAGACCAAAGGATAATGTTTTTTCTGGCAAGCCTTTCTGCCTGGAAGAGGGTTTTTTAAATATCATCCTCTTCTTTAAGCCATTGCAACGGCCAGCAATTTCTCCCCCATAAAGTGACTGTAGTACCCTAGTTTTTCAAGGCAACGTATTAAGCCCTCTATTTGGGGAGGCATGCCTAAAAACGTAATGTGCCCCCTCTCCAATTTGCATACCAGCACATTTTTGTCTGGGAAAAACTTTTTTAATAGTGGATGATGGTGAGGATGGAATCAAAGGGCTATTGGAAGATTTATGGAGAAGAACAGGTAGAAAGAAACAAGCAGGAAAAGGAAAACAGCCATTGCTGTGGGCTACTGAGATTCATTTGGGGACTTCCCCTGCTCTGACCCTGGTGCTATAGCTGTTTCACAGCAGCTGTGAGGTAGAGAACCTCATTTTTTAAAAAAATTAGGTTGATGTACTAGTGTGGAAAATTTGAGCCTGTGACAGACCTGCAATAATGCAGAATTCCAGAACTCATGCCCTCGACACCAGTCTTCGTCATTGGCATTTATGTTCTGATGTCACTTCCATTTGTATTTTTTCACCATCTGCTGTTTCTTAGAAGTTGAGTGATGTCACTTCCTTTCTCTTCTTCCTGTCCTCCTTGTCCGGGGACCTTGCTCAAGACCCAGAATTTCTTAATCCTCTCCTTGGTTGCCAAACCATGTGGTTTTGCTTTTGAGAACTGTGTAGCACTTTTAAGCGGGAAATACTTGGCTATATTGATTTATTTATTTTATTTATTTATTAGTTTTATACCCCGCCCATCTAGACCAAAGTCTAATCTATTTATATATTTTGTTCATCTTTGCATCAAGGTGGTGATGATTATTCTGCAGTTAGGAAAATTGAGACCATGAGGTATAGGCCCAGATCTTGTCTCTGGCAGCTTACTTTGTTCCAACATTATTTCTGCGATTCAGAGGACTCGTTGAATTTTTGTGTGCACAAAACCACAAATTCTAACAAATCCAATGCCGTTCTACTCTTTCCTCCCTTTGGGTCTAGTTTTTCAGGACGTTCTTTCCTTCTTAATAATGATGTTTCTGTCACTCTGAGTGACTGAGCAGATAGAAAAAGCAATTGATAGCAAAAGCTAGGAAGACATGCAGATGGAACCCTAAAAAGGGATGATGCATGACTGATGCCTCGATCAGTTAAAATGATCAGTGGGTATAAAATGAGCACCACTTTTTCTGGAGAGCTCCAGCTCATCAGATTAAACAGTACCTTTCAAGTTTATTGTATTAAAATACAGATATGGTCAAATAAAATCATGATAAAATCACAGACATATAAAATAATAAGAGACCCTTCACATCTGGGAATCTCCCACATAATTGATCACAATGGCTTTCAGAAAATTAGCTCAAATATTTCTGGCCGATTTTGCAAATCAAATTAAACATTATTTGGCTGTTCGGACAAAGAGTCAGACTTCGATCAGGCAGTTTCCTAGTCCTTGGAGAATGACTGACCCAGGAGGATATCTTTTGCTGCCTGAGGATGAGAAACAAGATTGCCACCCAACCCATCCCACTCCCTCAGTCCTATTTTCAGAAATTGACTGAAGTCACACTGGCAGTTAGAACTGCATTTAAGTGTTATTTAAATCAATTTGGATGTTATTATTTTTACACAACACAAGGGCAAAATTGGTTTATATGAGCCGCAAAGCTAGGGTTTTTTTTTTCAACTGGCTGGCAGGGGTTTTTCAAAATACTTCACTTCTAAAATCAATTCAGTTCAATTTTTTGTGTGTGGAAATGAGTCCATTTCAGCAGTGTAAATGCCAAAACAGGCTTAAATCACCAGAAATAAATCAGCTTCCATCCAGTGCATATGAACCGGTTTAAATACCGTGCAACTTGAACCTGATTTTTAAAAAATCTGAAGAGAAATCGATTCTAGTGGCCAGTGTGACCACAGCCTGCCTCAGCTGGCAGTTCAACACTGGAAAATGTGGTAAGAATTCATCCTTAGAACAACAGGATAGTTGAGAGGGTGGAGAAAGCTTAACTCTGGGTGGATTTTGGGTCCATTTTCACATCTCTCATCATCTCCTACTAGTGGCAGCATCAACCCAGCCTTTTGAGAGAGGCCAAGGGAGGATTGATTTGAGAAGGGACTGGTTAAACCACATCCGAGTTCTCTTAGAAAGGGTCACCCTAAGTCAGAATCAACTTGATGGCTCATAATTATTATTAATCAGTCCTCTCTGTGGAACACATACTAGTTGAAGGCCCTTCTGTAAGTACACTGAGATTACTTATTGTCCTCGCTAGAGTTGCCAAAAATCAGACCGTTTTTACCTATTTCAATATTTTTGTCTCATATTCAGCACTGAAATTTTTAATTATTTATTTATCCATCACCTTTTAAAATCTTCCCTTTCCACTAATATGCTCAAGATGATCTATGCTCCTGACAACCCTGTAAGATAGTTCAGCCTAAGAGTTTGAGTAGTCAATGGTCACCTAGTGAGTTTCACCGTTAGGTGTGAATTTGAACCCATGTCTCAAGTTCTTGTCTAACATCATATCTGCCACACCACCATCTCTGTACTGTTTAAAAAGAAGAGGTGTCAAGAGACTTGTCGGGACTAGGGGCTTTCTTCCTTCTTGACCCTTACATCCTGAATCCCAGACTCCCCACCCCAAGCCTCCCAGCTCGGCACAACCTCGTGTTTGTTAAGCGCACATACTGACAGTGGCACTCTGCAGTCGAAGCAGAGACAAGAACCACCTCCAGGCTCATGAACCGCGGGCACCCTCTGCTGGATTGAGAAGCAACTGTTTGTAAATGAATGCTAGCCATCTGTTGACCTCTTTCATTGGTTGTAAATGAATGCTAGCCATCTGTTGACCTTTTCCTCTTTCATTGGCACCTGTATCCTCTCTTTAATTCTCCTGGCCCCTATTTTAACAATTTTGTATTTATTTGAATGTTAATATATAGAAAACGAATGACTATGATGTGTGATTAAAGAACAAACATATTTTAATAAAGTGAAATATTTGAATGAGGTACTTCACTTCCAGTACAACCCCTTCCTTCCCTCCAAAGAAAAAAAAAGGTTCTTTATCCAGCATCCTCTGTGGTGTTTTCAGTGGTGCGAGTAGTTTAAGTTAAGAAAGCAAACGTTGTTTTATATTTCAGTTTAGTTTATTGAGAGAACACACTAACTTTTTTTTTCAAAGTACCTCCCCCCCGCCCCATTAATCAGAATACCTCAATATACACACAAACTACTCCTCTTTATACAGCAAAAAGCTAAACATTTGGAAATAAAAAAATAATCTGCATTAAAAATAGGTTTATATTAGTAGCCAAAAATATACAGGTCAAATTTAAACACAAAGCGTTATGAGGAATGGAAGGCAGCCCATGTTAAAGCCAAATTAAATGCAACATAGGATATTTAGGAACTGGGCACTAGCCATCTTTTTCGTTTGCTGTAGAAAAGGTGCTGACTGAAATCTGGTCCCCAGGCCTTCCAAGCTATTACTAGGATTTCAAGCCAATGTCAATGAGGGAAAGACAGGTCACAGGAAACTGCATGAGGGCAGGATTCAGCATCCCTTCTCCTGTTCTGCTTCCCTGTTCAAATCAGCCACAAGCCACTTGATCACAAGTCTCCCATCCCATGTCACATTTAATGTAGCTACAACAAGACTGGCTAGAAAAAGTAGGTCGGAGATTTGACGAAGGCCAAAGCCCTTTTCAGTAGCAGATGCACACAGATCGTGTTTAGTCCCTCCCTCTCTCTGGCAGGAAAGGGGCGGTCTGAACCCAAGAGGATATTTTAATACCCTAAGACACAAAAAAAGTCTAATTTCACAAACATCAGTGTTTAAAAAAAAGAATTGAAGAGTCCACTTAGGAAGCCTTGTGAGGAAATGGGGGGGGGGATATGAGAGTGGGATATTTTAATACCCTAAGACACAAAAAAGTCTATTTTCACAAACATCAGTGTTTTTTTTTAAAAAAAAAAAAACTTAGGAAGGCTTGTGAGGAAATGGGGGGGGGGATATGAGAGTGAGGCCACAACAAAGCCCATGAAGATGGGGGTGGGAGAGGAAGGCTTTCCTCCTAGGTTGGAAGGGGCAAAATCACGACTCGAACCATGTGTAAATTTGAATTGGTGCTTCCAAGATGATTGCTATTTTTGGCAAATGTTTAAACAGATCTTTAACCTAGTGAAGCCATCCTTGCTCTTGCTTGCCAAGGGGAAGAGAGAGAAGATCATTTTTAAAATGGGAGAAATATTTTGTCTTTCTTTTCAGTATTGATTCCAACATCTCCACTGAGACAGGAAGGGGGGAGTAAGCATTTCACAGCATGTATTGCCTTTATTGTCACCCTCTTTCTTCAGGTTCTAAGGAATACTTACTCTGAGCTGCAGCTATACTTCATCCCCTAAGGCTTTCTGCTTGGTGTGAAGGTTAGGATAATTTGTGAGTGATCCTCAAGATAAATGTAGTGATTGTGTTTCAGAACAGAATTCAACTCAAACATGATCTTTTAAAAAAAAAGCAATACAGTTGCTTATTAAATGGCTTAATAAATAAGCAACACATTGGCTATACATTCTCAATTCTGCTGCATGGAATAATAGATGTTTTAACTCAGGCAACTTTTTTTAAAAAGATAGAAGCATTTGAAAGATGTGAAGTTATTATTCAATGCAGATGGTAAAAATGTCTCTGAGCAAGACGGTGACCAGCGAAAAAAATCCTAGAGCAAGTAAAGACAGTGGAATGGTAAAACGTGGAAAATTAGAATACTTTGGTCACATATTGAGGAACAAGGAGGACAGACTGTTACTGCTGATCATTCAAAGGAAAATAAAAGGGAAAATACCTTATCCTGAAGAATCCAGGCCCTCTTTTTGTTGCCATGCAACAATCATTGTTCAGAACAGATACATCCAAAGTCACAACAGCCGTTATGACATCCAAATTTCAGTTAGAGAGAAGCAAGAAGTCTTTTCCCCTCTCTTGATAAAGAGTTTCTTCAAAATACACTGGGAACCGACTCTACCTCTACAGCGGTCTCTTTTAAAATAAGAGAATGCATTAAGCCCCTTTTGGTTCTCTGCAAAGTGGGAACGACAGGAACCTGGATTTAGTCAACAAGGATGGCTCACAATCAGGAGGAAAAGAGAACAGAGTTACAGAGGAAAACGAACCTCTGTGAAATCAGGGGTTATCCGGCATAAGATTTCAGAGACTTTAAAGACTTATTAGTTGAATGTTTTTCTAGATCCTGTTTCCACTCATAAAGCTGTGCTTTATGGCCACAAAAGCTCCCTGTGGCATTTCTGGCTTTCCTGAATGCTCAGCTATTCAAAGCCATGTCTCACCTTCTTGGTTGGTGGATATGTAAGAAAAAGTCAGTGGACCATATTCTGGACTTTGCAGAAGGGAACCTCAAGCCCATGATCCTGATCTATATTCTGGACTTTGCAGAAGGGAACCTCCAGCCCATGATCCTGATCTATTTACTTGCTCACAAAACAGAAAGGAAAAAAAAACAAGGGAGGAAATTTAAGCCTTCTGCTGTCCTTGTCTATTTAGGTCCTCCCTTTTGCCACTTCAGCAAAGCATGCCGTTGGCCAAGTGGAAATCGTGTCTGATAGTGGGGTCAAAAGATAACGGAAATACAAAAGATACTGAAGCATGGGTGGGTGGGTGGAAACCACAGCGAACAACATTGCAGAGAACAAGGGAGGAAATTTAAGCCTTCTGCTCTCCTTGTCTATTTAGGTCTCCCTTTTGCCACTTCAGCAAAGCATGCAGTTGGCCAAGTGGAAATCATGTCTGATAGTGGGGTCAAAAGATAACAGAAATACAAAAGATACTGAAGCATGGGTGGGTGGGTGGAAACCACAGCGAACAACAGAAAATTGCAGAGAGGGGCAAACAGTTTGAAAAGTATGGACACAGAAAGATAGGTCTGGAAGGATCAGTAAAAAATAAAAAAGTAGGTTCAACATCCCCAAGCTACTGATGCAATTCAGAACCTGGGAGTTCATAGCAGCAAGGCTGTGAGTTCAGGCCCCCCACCCCACACTCTTTTCCTGGGAACAATCGTACCTCTGTGATAGCGCACATGCTTTGCGTGCAGGAGCCCCCGTGCCAAACTTACCATTTTAGTTAAAAGGATCTGAAGGAATGAATCTGCCAAAGCCAGCAGCAGATACACCTTGCAAAGCGACAGGCCGGTGGTTCAGCAAGACAGGGACTACTGGCCTTCATCAACAGAAGGGCGCTGCGTATACTCCATCATGTGCTTGCCATCTGAATTGCAGGAGGCACTTAGATCTATCTTGATTACTAAGATCTGGCTTAGGAGCACCAGCTCAGGGGACAGGAAGACCTTAGGCTTCCGGGAGGCTGACCTACTGCAAGACACATCCATAGACGGTCATAGTACAGTATTCATCACAGGAGCCCATCATTCAAAAATTGCTTTGCTTGGCAACTCTCCTTCCCCATAGACGCACACACACACACACACCCTGCCAAAACCTATTCACCTACTCAACAGCTCAGGGCAATGCCACAATATCTCACCAGAGGGCATTCTCTCTACATCCAAGAGCTCTTCCCATGGAACAGAGCCAGTATTAACTGGGAAGCCTTAGAGTCCCATCCAGTCCATTGCCAGGAAGGTCATCCATACCCAACACCACCAGGTGGGAGCAACCGGTGGGGACAGCCCTGCAATCGCAATAACTTTAGGAAGCAGCGTTGATCGTGCCTCGGTAGGAAGAACGGCTGGGGGTGCCGTGACCTGACACCGATACCTCTGCCCAAGCAGATTGGTGACCTCCAGCTCAGCCTGCTGTGAGCAACAGTCCGAGGAATAAGTGACTGATTCTGCCAGTCCATCAGCTTGGTGAGGTACCGCCACGCCCCCTTCTGCCTGCACTGAGCGAATGCCAGCCTCATCCCTAATTTGCACAGTAGCTGTCCAATGTTGGCTGCTACAAGGGGCTGGTGGTGAGGCACAGGAACCGTCCAGAGATGTGACTTTGCAGACCGGCGGGGAGAAAATCTGCACCTGTAACAGGAGGAATAGCCACGTGTAAGGTGTGTGTTTGTGCAGGGAGTGCGGTATCATCCACACCCTCCCCCTGCCACACAATCCCCCCCGCCCCTGCTTCCCTTCTCCCTCAGAGCTTAGCTACAGTTCTCCAAGCATCTAGAAGATAAACTGAGTTTTCCAATAATCGTATATTATTGCAAGCTACTCCCTTTGTAATGCAAAGTGTTTGAGGAAGGTTAAGTCTTGAATGGGCTCTTAAGAGGCCTTAGCTTTACAAAACACACTCTCCATTTACAGATATGCAATGATCGACCTGCCTACATTTTGGATTATGTGACAGATGCTGGAACTCTCTTCACAATACAGTGGGGTCTTGACTTGAGAACTTAATCCGTATTGGAAGGCGGTTCGCAAGTCAAAAAGTTCTCAGGTCAAATCTGCATTTGCTACAAGGGGCTGGTGGTGAGGCACAGGAACCGTCCAGAGATGTGACTTTGCAGACCGGCGGGGGGAAAATCTGCACCTGTAACAGGAGGAATAGCCACGTGTAAGGTGTGTGTTTGTGCAGGGAGTGCGGTATCATCCACACCCTCCCCCTGCCACACAATCCCCCCCGCCCCTGCTTCCCTTCTCCCTCAGAGCTTAGCTACAGTTCTCCAAGCATCTAGAAGATAAACTGAGTTTTCCAATAATCGTATATTATTGCAAGCTACTCCCTTTGTAATGCAAAGTGTTTGAGGAAGGTTAAGTCTTGAATGGGCTCTTAAGAGGCCTTAGCTTTACAAAACACACTCTCCATTTACAGATATGCAATGATCCACCTGCCTACATTTTGGATTATGTGACGGATGCTGGAACTCTCTTCACAATAAGCTAATTTTGTCTTCCCCAACAATAGAAGACTGTCTCCCAATCCACTCTCTAAACGCTGGGAGGAGTGAGGAAGCAGACAGGCACCCTTTTCACTGGCAAACAGTTAACTGAAAGTTCAAATTTTGCACTTTCCCTGCCTCCCACGTGGTTTTTTTTTCAGTTCTTAACTCAAATCTAAGTATGTAAGTCAAGTCAATATTTTCCTATGAGAGTGGTTCTTAAGTCAAAATGTTCTTAACTCGAGACGTTCTTAAGTCAAGACCCCACTGTAAGCTAATTTGTCTTCCCCAACAATGTAGCTCTAATGCACACATGGAACATCAACAGGTGTACAGGTCTACATCCTGATGCCGTTTGAGGCCACTCACAGTTAGAGTACAAATATTGTTAGAGTACTATAATTCACCTATATAGTTATATAGTATAGGTCATTAACTGCTTAATTCAATAACTCAGGGGAACACACATTCTGTGGCAGAGTTTTGCTACATTACAACCAAAGAGGATCTAATTTACAAGGACTAAGTTTGATTACCACCTATCTATCCAGCCTCCACCAACTTTCTGTTGTCAGTGAATGCACTGATGTAATCTAGGAAAGATAAGGACTCAGGACTACTTTGTTGTGGAATTAGAGAGATTTCTCTGTCATGCTTGAAGTTGATCAAAACAAACAAAAACCCCAGAATCCAGGAACTGGCTGATTGTATATAATCTAAGGAGCTGAGTCCAGGCAGGTCAGGCCACAATCCTGAATCAGGTGAAAGAGATGTACCAAGGCTTGGAAGTAACTGATTATAAAGAACACATTATAATGGATGGAAAACTAAATTACTTTATGATTGTGATAGTTACAAAGATTTAGCAACTTTTATAGTTTCAGGAATCTGGCCTTACTCTACAGTGGAGAAGATATTTCTCATTCTTCACATTTTCGGCTCATGTTGCTGTAATTTTGGTTTGTTGTTTTTTTTTAAAGATATTAAAAAACTATTTTAATTACTTTTGAAAATAGGAAAGGAGATTACTTCTTAAAAGTGCAGCAACATTGGTAACCAACTTTCTTGGGCCATGGAACTGTAATGGTTTTTCAAAAGTAATTGTCCAAGATACGAATATCTAAAGCAGAGCAGTTCCAAGTTACTGTGAAGCATTCTTCTACAAACCTCATCTGAGGAAGTGGACTTGTCCACAAAAGCTCACATCAAAATATAGCAGTTAAGTCAACAATGTTTTTGTCTTCTTTATTTATCTTTTCTTTTTTTTTTTATCCTGACCGTCAAAAAACAGAATTACAGGGTCAGATGAGAAGCATGGGGACTGCACTCCCAGAAGCATAAAGTATGGGATTTATTCACAAAGTGTGATGGATGCCAGCTTAGTGTTTGTTTGTTTTTTAAAAGCCCTTAGGGGATAACCTGTCCATACTTACAATATAGGCCAACACAAACCAGAACCTTCATACCAAGAGGAAATATATCAGACACTTTGAGAACAAGCAGCTGGTGACAGCTATATTCTGCCCAGTGGTAAGCTTTCCAGCAAAACCTGTTTCACTGCTGTTGGAACAAGACTACAGGATAAGAAGAATATCTGCTCTGTTAGGGCAATGTTCTTTCAATATCTTTAAGAAGAGAACACTTCACAGAATAAGTGCATGCACTGAATGTTGGGGAGGTGGGGAAGGATGCAAAGAGAACAGGAAATCTCTAAAACCTCAACTTGGTGCTGTCCTCTGTTCTCTCTTCCCCCTCCACTCCAGGGTTCCTCTACCCAAAACTTACCATAGGCAAGGGCATGACAAGCAGCTGGATATGAGCAAAACTAGGATCCCCAGCTGGGTGAACAAGGTTGGCTTGCAGGGTTACAGTGATCACCGAACCAGGAGCAGTTGTATTAGGTACATTCAGGAAGATCTGTCCTGTCGCTGTTTGGTTAAGGCCTAACGATAGCCTGCAGACAAAAAGAAAGGAAGACCGAAATATGAGAAGGATTGACTTAATGCAAGAAACCACAGCCTTGAGTTTGCAAAAACTGGAGGTCACTCATTCACAGGGTCCGCCACAGGTTGGACACCACATGAGACAGCACGCGTCAACGTCAACAAAGGGAGAGGAAAATTTGAAGTGGACCATACGGATGGATTACCCAACTGACATTATGGGAAAGGTGGACACATGTCAGTTCTGGTGACAGCCAGCCATTGGGGGCACTCCATAAAGAAGGGCTGGCACCCACCCAAGGTTCATGCACGTCAGAGGTGGAGCCCAGTGGAGCTAAAAGTTAGAGGGTACATTGCACCCGCCCCACGACCCTGAACTTTCATTGGTTTAGAAAAATTAGCATTCTTAGCCCTTAAGGGTGCTTAATCTAAACCCCTATTGCCTACACAATCTGGTGCCATCCAAAAGTGTTTTAGACTTCACTTCCTGTGACGTTTCACCCATGGCCATGTCAACTGGGTCCAAAGCACATGGGGGTGACCAGACTAGCAAATGCCAGCTTGCACTAACAAGCAGCCGGTCTGCAGGGTTTCACATAGGTTTTTTTTTTTTTTAATCATCCCTGTCTGGAAAAATCTCAAGGAAGGGACCTGTGATCTTCTATATGCAAAACCTATGCTCTGCAACTAAACCACAGGTTCTCTCCAAACTCCTAGCATGTGCAGAAGGTGTCAGAGGGCTACACATTGACTCCAGAGTTTCCAAAGGTTGCAAAGTGTTTTCACATCCTTGGTTTAAGATTTGAAGGCATGTATTTTTGTATTAATTTATTCTTCCCCTGGTTAGACATTGTGGTAGGACGAAGCGGTGAGCTAAGCCATGGATCTTTGTCCCTTGATGCCTATAAATGCTATTCTCTCCCTCTGTGGTTACGTGTCACACCCACACGCAGACATCCAAGACTGCACCCAAGCACACACTCAATCCTCTCCTCATCGTCCTAAGAATGAGAAAAATCTGACTTTTCCACGAGAATGAATGTTGCACTCGACTGCAGTGGAATATGCAAAGTCTCGTGGCTGGGCTGGGAGGCAAGGAAGGGAAAACTAGAGCCTACCAACATACAGTATAAGGAGCTGATGTCCTTCCCTCTTGCTTTTTCACAGAATTACCTGGAGCTGGAGATGTTGGTTGGGAACCGGCACACACTGCTCACTTCCAGAGCGTACTGCTTCGGTGAGCCAGGGTTTGTCATCTTCCAGGCAATGGAGACAGGCCGCCCTGGGAACACAGGAGTGTCTCTGTTCAGCTGGAACAAACCGGGGTGTAGGTTATAGAACTTGGGCTGCAGGCCGGAGTTTGCAAAAGCGAGAGCTCTCTAGAAAGCCACGAGAGCTGCTCGGGAGCTTCTCTCTGCAGGCAGACACAGGCCAAAACTACAGCCCTTTCAACCAGTTGGTTCCAGTCAGCAAGACACGAGACGTTTGTTTAATGCATTTCTATTCTGGCATTCCTCCACTGAGCTCAAGGCAATCTATCTGGCTCTCTCCGCTTCACCCGTCCATCCCAACAACAAACCCGTGTAGTAGGTCAGGCTGAAAAGAGAAATCACCCAGTCAGTGAATTTCACACCTCACTGGGGACTTGAACCGATGCCAATCCACCCCAAGCCCAACATTCTCCAGCTGAGAGCCAGGCTGCAAGCCCCACTCCCTTCCTCCTTGGCTTTCCCTCCCTTACCTCCAGCAGGGATCCCATCACAGTGGCAGCTTGAGGAGCAGCCCTTGCCAGCTTCCTGCCCTCGCCATCTACACCGTGCACCACGATGGAGAAGTTACTGCTGCTCGATAGAGTCGGCGGCAGCTCCGCCACGAAGAGGTCAGCCTGTCGGCCTCCGCCTTTCAGCTTCAGTTCCCCGAGGCTCCCCGTCTGGCCCTCCAAGGTCACCGCCTGCAGCTGAACGGAGCCGGATTCCGAGTGATTCAGGCCCATTGCCTTAACAACCAGGTAAGTGGGCAGACCTGTGGGAAAGCAAGTGGAAAGCTAAGGGGACCTTGGCAATTCAAACATCCCAGTTATGCCTGATTTATAAAGTCAGGGCCGGGGAGATCTCGGTCGGTGTGATTAGAAATGAGAAGCCAAAAACCAGCAGCAGAGATTTGGTCTGAGAAGGCAAGATGAAAAAGACTTCCAAGACTATGAGATAACATGGAATGATCTAGGGGCACCAGTCAAAAGAGCATGCGTGCTTGTGCACATGCGCAAGGGGCGGTGTGGCTTGTGCAGGTGCAAAGGGCTGTACAGTGCTTGTGCAGGTGCTCGCACGCAGCTGCAACAGGCTGTGCAGGGGGGAGGGCGTGCAGGGGCAGGGGGGAAGTCTCTCTCTGTGACCCGGTCCGGCTCAGGCCACAGACTGGCACCGGGCTACAGACTGGGGGTTGGGGATCTCTGATCTAGAGAACAGTCTTGCATGTGTATGTACCTGAATTGGGAAAGGGTTTCCTTTTCCCACACTAGCTGGGGATTCTGGGGGTTGTAATCCAAAAAAAATTTCCAAGCTCTGTGGTTTGCATTCCTTTGGGGTCTGCCAGAACTACCCCGTATATTGGGAGATTTAACAGCAACAAAGACCATTTTAACGCAGGCAGCCCTGCCCATCCACTGGCCTCACAAAGTTGTAGAAAAGCAAACACTGATCCATCGAAAGAGAAACGATCCCACACAAACCTTCTATAGGGTGACTGTCCATCATGAATAGCCCTGGGTGGCGTCCTTCCACCGGAACAGCAAAGTAATACAGGAAATCAAGCCTGCTCTGACCTGCCAACAAGCACAACAAATTGGATCTTTTAAAAGGCGAAACCTTGACATTGACAGCAAAGAGTCAGGGACCCAACCTAAGAAGCCACTCTATCCATTCGGTCCACAATTGGTTTCCACATAAGCTCTGAAAGCCTTAAAAATGCCGTCTTTTCATCACTCCCATTAGTTTGACAGTGCAACGCTTCTGTCCAAGCAACTCACAGGGGGAACTGATCTGTGTTGACTAAAAGTTCCTGGGACAGTTGTTGTGGGTTTTTTGAGCTGTTTGGCCATGTTCTGGAGGGTTTTCCCCCCTAACGTTGCGCCAGTCTCTGTGGCCTTCATCTTCAGAGGACAGGAGCTAGAACTCTGTCTGTGTTCCGGTGTAGTGTGTGGGATTGATTTGTAGCTGTGGGATCAGGGTTTTGTTCGTTTCAGGAGTTTGGGTGTTTCCTATGATCAGGGTGTTTTTATTATGGGTGTTTTGTTGTGATAAGGAGGGGAGATAATCTGTCACTGTGATTGATGGGAGTTGTTGGATAGTCTTTTGTGTGCAATGATCAACAGTCCTTGTGGCTTGGTAGCTACAGCCTGCAAAAAAAGTCAATGAACTCTACCCATCTTCTTCTTCATCTTCTTTGTTTACTCTTGTAATCACTTACTATTCAGTGTGGACACCGCATTTCTCAGCTGCTAAATTCAGCCTACTGGGAAACTTCTCCTATAGCTCTGAAATTACTTTTTTTAAAATGCTTCCCTGAAGTCTACACCCAATGAATTAAGTATTTCTTCTCATTCAGTCCCTGGTGGAAACAGAGTCACTGTTTTAGCATCCCTCCTTCCTTTATGAGTTTGCACCGCTTCTTAACCAGCAACATTTCAACTTAAGCAGTTCACCAGAGGTTAGCTACTCTGCAGGACTGATGCAATCATCTCCAGGATCCACTGGTACAAGATCCTAAAGATATGACCAAGGGTTTACACTAGGAATAGATTCATTGCAACTGGTGCTTACGAGGGTGTTCCAATGCACACAGTAGGTGGACAAAATGATCTCGCTGGGCCAGGTTTAGCCCTTTTCTCACCCTGGATATGCACCAGATAATGGCCTTCAGAACGAAGCTTCAAAGTCCACTCGCCAACACAGACAGGGGGAGTAAGAAACACCCTGTAGATGCCACCAATGATTTCAATCTTTGCTAAGGGACCCTGGGTTGATGAATGATGCTGGGTCTCTCCTGCCAAAAAAAAGTTGAGAAAAGAGCATGAGTAACATTAAAAAGATAAGCAGGATTGGCTGTTGTGGGTTTTTCGGGCTCCTTGGCCATGTTCTGAAGGTTGTTCTTCCTAATGTTTCGACAGTCTCTGTGGCCGGAATCTTCAGAGGACAGCA